TTGGGTTGGTATTAGTACTATAAGGTTTGATTTTGTGGCGTTTTATATTAATATCATTGATTTTATAAAAGTCTAAACAAATATCATATATCTCTTGAAGGTTGGTACTATTCTTTGTGAATAGGGTTGTGTCATATTATTATTAAAACATTAGTTTTAGGAATATGCTATATATTATAACTAAACTCAAAAATTAAAAAAATTATATATAAATATAAAGCTTAAATATTAATAATAAAAGTCTAATATAGTATAATGAAAATTTTATAGTATATAAAATTTATTGTGTAATATAACTTTAATTAATATATAAAAAATAATATATTTAATAGAATAAAAAGTTTATTGTATAATAACATTTTATATTTAAAAAAGTTTTGAATTTTTTGAAATCCCCTTATGTATTAAAATATTCTTTTATCAAATAAATTAGGATTCAAAAATTTTTTAATAATTATAACTATTTTCAATTAACAAATTGATTATTAACTAATATAAACTACAGTCAATTCTCAATAAAAAATATATATGTATTGTATGATAAATACTATATTTTGTCATATTGAATACCACATTTGAAAAGATTATTATAAAAGAACCCCTAGGCATGATTCCTATTTGATTTATTGAAATCATATGATTATCATAGCTCTGAAAAAAGATAATCTTCACAAATTTTAAAAAAAATTTTTTTATAAATAATAATTTAATTTAAAAACTTTATATAATTTTTTTTTTTTTTAATGTTGGCATAGTCATGTCATGTAGCTTTTATTTAATCATTAATATTCCCTTATATACACAAATTTAATTGCGAGGAAGTACGTTTATGATGGTAAAAAACTATTGGCTCAGTATTACGAAACTGTGACTAGCTTCAATCCACCTTAGTGGATGTTAGCGTGTCATGACTCTACTAACACTAATGTTTATTGCGAACAATGTATGGTAAGAAAAGTTATTTGACAAGAAGTCTGTCATGCTAGAGTTGGTTAATTGGATATATAAGGAACTGAAGGCTTGGTTGGTTAGTATTTCTTCTTGGGTTCGTTGTCCTCTTGTTTTTTATTTCTGGCATGTTTCTTCCTTTTCATTCTCTTGGTAATGCCTTCTTCTTTTTCCCATTCATTCACTATATTACACTGGAGTTTCTATACTTTTTGTTTTTCTTGCCAGAATCTTTCTGTTGTTATTTTAATCACTTGTTTTGCTGTGGTGATGTTTTGAGTGATTTCTGTGGCCTTCTCTACCATCTTGTGGGTAATCACCCCCCTGATGATATCCGGCCATTGAATTTGGTAAGGAACTGCTGTTCTTTTCCCTTGGGTCTTTCCTATCTGAGTATGGTTCCACTTGTTGCCAATTGGTTCTGTTTATTTAGTGTTTTCAGTATGCACTGCGCATTCTTCTGTCAGAAAGGATGTGTATTTTTTCTTTTGTTTCTCGCTGTTGGGGCCATACAGGAAGGAGTGTAGATTGTCTTCTATCTGACGGTTGCATATTATGCATGTTGCGCTCGTGTAGACTTCCGATAGTCTGGTATTGAGTTTGGACATGGTCGGGTGTTTATTTACCCATGTTTTGAATTGGAATGTTCTACTTCTATGGTCTTGGTTGTCCGTGTGAAGGGAGGTTATTTTTGAAGGTGAGAGTATTTCCAGGATCAGTTTCCAATCTATTTCCTTGAATTTTCCTTTGGTGAGCCACCCATTTGTTCTTTTGAGGGCTCTTCATTTGCTTGCCCATTTGGTTTTGATGATTGATTTCCCGAGTGTTTTGAAGCGAGATCTATGAACCTCTGATCCCACCTTACTTAACATTGCTGTTGGTTGATTGTTGTTCTTGTATCATTAATATGTCTTTGTATAGGTCTGCGCTGTTGTAGCGGCTAGTTTGTCTGCCTTCTCATTACTCTCGATGCCCGAGTGGCTTTTGACCTTGATCCATTGTATGTGAATTCTTTTTATATGCAGTAGTTCTGTTATTGTATCTATGAGCTTTTAATTGGGCTGGTCTTTCTTTCTTTTGGTGTTGTGTGTTGTGGACGGAAAGTTATTCCTGATCACATTTATGGCGCATTGACTGTCTGTGTAAAGATTGATTTTCCTTTCTGGGCTTATTGTGCAGATGGCTGTTACGATGGCCATGAGTTCTGCCCTTGTGAAGGAGGGTTTGTTCTGTGTTTCCGCCTGGAATTCTGCTAGTTCTGTTCCTTCCTCTGTTTGAATGATCCATCAGAGTCCCATTCTGCTTTCTGTAGGTCGTCTAGACAGGGAGCCATCTGTGTAAATGTGTAGGTTGTTATATTGCTGAATCTTTTTAGTTATGTCTACCTATTCTTCTATTTTCCAGTGGCTAGTCTTGATTCTTTCCCTGATAAGGTTGATTGTGGTTGATGTGAGGTCTAATTGAATGGTGGGAGGGGCCATTGGGGGAGATGGTGACTTTCCTGTTTCAGTTAATGCCAGCTCCATTCCTTGGGGAGTTGAGCGTAGCCTATGTAGGTTTAGGTTTCTTGGTTGGGGGTTCTCCATCCTGATAGGTATGTCATCTTCCACCTTTGATGATACTGTGCTTTTCTGGACTGATATATTGATTGATCGATTCAGGAGGAGCTGTGATATGCATTGTTGTTGGTCTTTATATTTTGCCCTCAAAGTGGGGTTGTTCAAGGGGCATTCTTTACATTTATGTACTGGTGATGATTGCTCCTTCTTGATGATGTGATTACCAATAATTGTGTTGTTGTCTATCTGCCTCTTCTTTTTAAATAGTGTAACAGTTGAGTTCCTTTTGGTCGCTATCCATTTGATCATCTTCCTATTTTGCTGTGGGAGGATTGACATGTTGGTTCTGAAGGGGTTCTTTTTGTTGATGTTGATGGGGATTCTGATATTGTCATATTTATCCATTGATAGATCCTTGCAGATCAATCCTCTGAGGTCATTGTACCATTTTGGTGTTTTACCTTGTCTCCTAGTTTACTTCTGACCTGTTTCCAAGTTAGGACTCTTGTGAGGTTGTCATTTAACAGCTGTTCGATAAAGAGAATCTCCTTCTCCTTAGTGCCTGTCTATGTTGGTGATACCACTCTTTGTTCGTGATATCTTTTATTGGAGTTCCCTCTTGGTCTACCAGTCGACCGATTATTAGTGGTTAGAAGGGGAGAGAGTGATCCCTTACATTTTGATCATGTTCAGGATATCATTGGTAAGGTTGTTTCATTTATTTATCCAAAATGAAAGTTTATCTTCCAGGATTGATGTAGCTGACCAGTATTTGTTTTGCAGTTGTTGAAGCCTGATAAGGGTTGTTGTACTGCAAGTGTCGAAGTTGTTAAGTCTGTTTACCAGGTTTTTTCCTTGGGCCAGTATTTGTCTGTCCCAAAGATTGAATAGTTTGTATCCAAAATCTGTATGTAGAATACTGTTAGGGACTGTTGTAGATAAGCCTACCTTGTGTTTGAAGGTTTTGTTAATCTTTCCACTGATTTTGTCGCATTTCTTTTCGGAGAGGGTCATGTCATTTAGAAGATATTCTATGGCTGGGTACAGGACGTGGTTGATGATGTATCGTGTTTGCTTGTCTGTGATCCTCTTCCAGGCTATGATATTGGTATATGTGTTGACTATATTTTGTATACGGTTCTTCTGAAATCTTTTTTTCCCATCTTCTGTTATCCATATACCCAGGATCTGTGTTGCTTCATCCCTTTTGAGTGGCCAAATTTGTGCACTTATCAGTTGTACTCCTTTTGCTCTGTCTATACTGGGAGCATTGATGCATATGAGGGATGATTTTTCTGGATTGGCCTATATGTCGTTGATTCTAAGAAATTCTGTTGCTGTGTTTAATATCGCTTGCATATCACTTCTGTTGCTGGCATACCAGGTTGTGTCGTCCATATAGGCGGTAGTTGTTATGTTACAGTGACGTCGGTGCTTTCCATTTCCATACTCCATATTGTTTGATATATTTGTTTCCCATTCAACTTCCATTTTGTATCCTCTGTTTTGCTCTTCCATTTCTTTGAGTAGTGGATTGTAAAAGATTTGCCATAGGAGGGGGGATATTGTGTCTCCCTGATCTATGCCGTCTTCTACTGTGTACTCATCTGTTAAGCCGTGGGCTGTTATAACCCTGTTTTTCCTATTCGTGAGTACATTTGTGAGAATGTTGATTATACGCTATGGGAGTTTGATCCTGTAAAGGGTGGCTACCAGCTTCTCCTTATTGATGAAGTCATATGCTTTGCTAATGTCCTGACTGAATACTCAGATTTCTTTTTTGTATTCTCTAGCTTCTTCTAGGATATTGTTAAGGATTTGGATGGGTTGCTGCGTACTTCCTCCCAGTAGCCCTGCCCAGTTGTTGTTGAAGTGGATTTTGTTGGTAGTGCAGCTTCTTTATATTCTGTTTGTCAATATGCTCATGAAGACTTTGCGTATTGTCTCCAAGAGTGTGATAGGTCTGGTTATGTTGATGTCTCCCATCCAATCTTTTGGCTTGGGAATTAGAAAAATATTGCCTTTTTTCATTCTGTGGGGACTTCTCCTATTTCTAATATTTTGTCAAACAGGTGTTTTAAGGCTGTAATGCCCATCGTATCGATATGGTGAAGTAACCTGTATGGGATTTTCGAGGGGCCAGGGGCACTTGCTTTGTTTTTTGATCTGATTGCTTCCTGGATTTCTTGGATATTGAATGGTTCTATACAGTTACTGTACCATTCTTCCTTAATGTTTCCTTTCGCTTTATATTGTTCAAGCCAAGTTGGGAAATTGTTTATGTTGAGGGGGTTTCTAGCCACTGTCCATTTTTCAAAATGGGTCTTGACTTTGTCCTTGATTTCTTCGGGGTCGGTGATTATGTTAATTACATCCTTGTCTGTTTTTTCCACCAGTCTGCTTGTATCAATCCTCTTGGGTTGTCGATTTAGGATGCTATTTATTATTTTCTTTGGATGCTCCTGAAGAAGCTGATAACATTTTTGGATTCACTTCTGGATGTTTTCCCTTTTGACTTTTTTAATTATGGCTGTACTCAACCTTCTTTCCTCGAGCCATAACTCTTTAATTTGTGCCAGGTGTTCCAGCTTAGTTCTATTGTTTGTTGGAGTATTTGCCGTTTCGAATACTGGAACTTTGATTCTTTCTGTGACTCTGTTGATTTTGTTCGTTAATTTCGTAATTTCTTCTTGGAGCCCGTTGTCATGGAGGGCTTGTTCTCCATCCACTTCCTATATTTCCTGTATAGCTTTCCTGTAGTTATTTGCTGTCTCATGTACTTTTGATATTTGTTCCTGTTAACAGGAGAAGTGTTGTGATTGCATCTTTTCATTTTGATGTTGATTTTGCTGTTTGTATAAGTATCTTTTGGAGTTGTGCCCATATTTGGTTAGGGGGGTTGAGTTTTGTTATCTGGAGGGACTTTACCTTCTTTTCTACCTTTTTACGAAAGAGTTCCATTGCTTGTTTGATGAATTGTGGTAGTCTATTTGCATTTTCAGATTATTTTTCCTGTTTACTACCTTGGACCAGGTTGTGTGTGAACTGTGCATGTGGAGAGTAACCATATTATGATCGCTTTCTATTGTTGTGTCCATCGGTGTATGTTCTGTAGCTATAATATGTGAGGTTAATGATTGGGAGACCCAGATGTAGTCGATTCTACTACTATATTCTGAAGTGGGTCTATTATATGT